TTTAGATGCACACGGGTAGTAAGTGTGGGCATTCCCACAGCTTGAGAGAGAAATGCTGAAAGCTCAGACCGCATAAATGCTTGTATTGCCATTAAGTGTTACAATAGCCCAAGAAATTTTGCTATTCCAGTAGTAGGTTTTATTTTATCTGCTCTCCAACTTTCTAACACTCTGTGTGAATGAGATATTTACTTGCTCAATTAAGGATGTCTTGCATTGTCAACAAGTACATTTAGGTTGGATCTTCTGTTGCATCTCTCGGCATTTGTTTTTTCTATGCAGAGAATAAGAAACTCTACATAATTCTTTGACTTGTGCACTTCTGTCATACTGATGGCTAGGCTCCTTCTGCAAATTCCGCATGTATCCTGTAAACATCCTTCATTCTCTGGATTGGACTCATTCCTCAAAAATAGTGATTTCTGGCCTTGAGTTGCCTTGCTTTTTGTGGTGATCCATTAGATGTCAGCAGTAAACCGGGAACAATGCCTAAAACCTATGCAAGTATTTCACTACATTTTCTCTGCTCTGAGTAGCATAAATGTTGCTGGAGTTTTTGCACAACTCTTTTTAAAAGAGCTTGTTAATGTGTGAGAAGTTTGAAATTTCTGTTCTGGCATCTGGATGTAAGGTTTCGTGGAGGAAAAATAATCCTCAAGATAAAACTTTCTGAAATTGCTGTGTGCTTGCTCCAGTGTTGTGTGCTTTTGATAAAGCAGCATAAGCAGGTGCACAAATAAAACTAATTCTTTGGCAAGCACATTGGAAAAGCTACCTGTACGTAAAGGGTGTTAAGTGATTTTTACCAGCACACTCAAGTACCCATTTGACTAAATGTGCCATGTCAGGCAAAGCAGATCTTGGCCTGATGAACTATAAATCTTTGAATGAAGGAGGACCACACAGTCCATTCATAGCCTCTACCAAAATAACTGGGCTAGTCATGAAAAACCTGTGTAGGCTGGGGAGAAAGAAATCCTAGAATGGTATGATAGTAGATTTGCTCGTCTCTGCTTCAATTTTAAGTCTGAAGCCATACCAAGTCTACTCCTGAATACTCCCGAATAAATTAACATTGAAAGTAGACACAGTTGCATACTTCTTGTAGTGGCAAGTGTTGTAATGTCAGCACCAACACCTTTCATACTACATTTTTCTTACATGTACTGAGAGTACTTCTTGGAGGACTGAGCATCTTTACATCAGGTATTACTATTCTATGCTTTTACATTTCCCAATCTGGTTTGGAGATTCCCCTTATTGATGTTGAGGTATCTGTTACCATCTTACTACCACTTACTTAAAGACTACCAATAAATATTTCAGAAAGATATCCATCTCCCTTGCTCATGTGGGTAAAACCTAATGTTTGTTCTGTAACCTCCTAATTTTGTATTTTAAACAAGGATGGTAAATGAGAGCCGGGTCCTG